TGATACTGTTTCTTTAAATGGCATTGACAAACTTTCCTAGTCCAACATCGATAGACAGGGATGTCTCCTTAACTAGGGTGAGATCCAAAATCCATTTCCCGCTAGATTTCTGTAGGACTAATCCACCGTTTTCAACTGCTCGAAGTACCCGCCTACTAGCGGCAACTTTTGTTCCCGTCTGAGGGTCCCAGATCCAGCCATCCTTGAGCCACATCCAAGCCAAATATGCGCAGAGTTCTTTATCTTTTGGGAGTACTGATTTCCATTCGGGTGAGAATCCTTCAAGTGCATCTGCACCGTTCCAGTCGGTGGCTAAACCTCGCAACCTATCTCGACAGAATATCCTCCAACTGTCTATAGCGTAAGGTCCGATACCCGGTAAGTGACCAACCTCCCAAGCAACCCGGGGATCATCGTCAGTCACAGCCTCGCCACACCCAATGTCCAAGCCGTCAGATTTGTTAGGGTAATGAAGTTTTCTGTACCGCTTTCCGCACTCAGGAGCATTTTCTATCCACGCTTTGGCAAGAGCAATGCATTTTCTAGCTCGAGAATTTTGGAGCCCTAGTCGTTGAATCAATAGGACCAGTTCATCGAAGTTGGCATTAGCCAAAGCTTCAATGGTTGGATAATGTTCAAAAACACTGCATATCACTGGCATCGCCACTTCTCCCCTGGTTCGATTCAAAAATATGGTAGCAATAAGAAGTCGAAATGGTTCATGGGCGAGCTTCTCCTGAATTAGTCCAAATAAGACGGCGGAGGTCGGAGGGAATGGAATGCATGATGCTATATCAGGGCGTTTCCTTTTGAAGTATGGTGATGTCTTCTGACCCTTTGCCATAAGCTTACGTACTTGTAACTGGGGGAGCAATTGAAGTCGGTAAAATGAAGGACATTGTCGTGGAAAATATGAAGATGAAGTTAGTTAGTTATGCACGTGATGCGGCTCATCTGTCAGGATTAGTCATCCTCTTGTGTCTGTAGAACTCGCAGATGGCTCATGTTCCGTTGTGGACATGAGGCATAAGACCTTTTTGTCCCATGGTCCTGTGGTCCATGTTCCAACATCATCTGCCCAAAGAGCCAATAATACCATGAATATAAAATATCAATTATAAAAATTAATGAACTACCGGGGTATTGTTTTTGCTAACAGAAATTACACATATTAGAAACTAAAAACATCGAGACATCACTGCGCATGCCTTTGAGCCGGAGATGTGGAACAATATTAGATACTACTCGGGTTCATTTTGGAAAGAAGCAATTCACTCGCTCGCAATTAAGCGTTGATCAGCACAACGCCTAATCCAACCGCAGCAGCTAATCCAGCTTTAGCTCGTGATGTTGCAGCGGCGCCGGGCTGAGGGGTGTTTGTTGCAGTCGGCCCTGGACCACCCCCAGCACCGGCCACCGCCGCCACCACCTCCACTTTGTGTCTCCGTTACTGTAGCTGTTGGACTTGGGGGTGCGGTCGATTCACCACCACCACCACCACCACCACCACCACCCTCACCGCCACTTGTTACACCTGGTAGTGGTATCACAGAGGTTGGAGAAGGAATTCCATCCGTCAACGGGTCAGTGCTGACAGGGTTTGCGTTTTCAAACGCCGGTGGAGGTGGGTCTGCATTTGGAACTGGCTTAGTAGTGTCATTGTTGGGATTGAGAACACTAACATTGGAAATTAGTATCTTGAATTCCTTCGTACTAGTGACAAATTGTTCAGTAATAAAGAGATGAAAAGCCTTACTCTGAAATAACGTGAATAACTCCGTTGTTGACAAGGAGATTGGTAGATTCAACTCTAGCGGAGTTGACATAGCTTCTCCCATCAACTGTGGAAATGTGCAAGTCTTTATCGGCGTATGTTGGGTGGTCTCCGTCAGTCAAGTCTGGGGAATAGAGCACCTTGCCCTTCACGATATGGTAGTTGGCAATTCGCCCAAGGTCTTCAGCAGAAATATTCTCGAAAGCGGTGCCGATACGCTGGAACCCCAAGTTCCTCGGAGCAAAGACGGTGATGTCTTTTGGATCATTAGCGTTGGAGACAGCATTGCCACGCTGCAAAGCACCCTGGAAGCTAGTGAGATTTGCAGCCTGTAGTGTTGCCGTAACGCTCTGAGGGAGCGTCAGCGGACGGTCAATGACATGAATAACACCATTTTCAACATCGACACCCTATAACCAGTAATTAGATAAAATGTTTGCAACGTACTCACAAGAAGCTCTCGTGAATTCCTTACCGGTTTGATGATGGTAGAATTGTCGTTCAATCCAGAGATTGCATAGTCCTTCCCATCTTTCTCAACAAGCTGGACAATCTGACCGGAGCTAACATTGGTAAAGCCCGCATCGTTCAATTCCGTGGGCGAAAACTGTGGCGTGGTGGTGATCTGTTCAGAATTATGCAGTCCTTTCACCAACTGGTAGCTAAAAATTCCCCTTAGGAGGCTAGAATTCGATGATGACTGATTATCATTGCCCTCGCCTTGTCCCACAAAGTCGCGGAAGGCACTATTTTCGAGAGCAAGCAGAGTGACGTTCTTCTGCTGGTCCAGCACATCTTTCGCTTCAGGCGTTTGGTTTAAATATGAAGACATCTCTGAAAGCTCCGGCATCTCTGAGATGTCCTCAGAAAAACTTTTGGCGTAGGTGACAGTAGCCCATAGGGCCACCAGAATGTAATAGAGCAGCATCTTCTCTTCACGTAAACAATTGAAATTCTAATGGTATCACTCACTCAAGCAGTAATAATATTACAGAATTGAGGTAAAGAAAGGATTCCCTGTGTACTGACATAAAGCAGCGGCCTTGGAAAAGCCGGTTATTTATGATATCAGTAGATCGCCTTCTATGGAACATAGGGGCGCGCAGAATGACGACATTCCCATCGACCATCGGTGTGGGGATGATGAATTCATAGCCCGAGGCGAATTCCAGAGTGTGGAGCTAATCCAGGTTAATATTGCTTTATGGAAATCTGACAATGTACCCGCCGCGAGGAAGCTGCTTGAACACTTTGATCCTAGAGAGCATTGTGGCTAGTTATCTATTGCTTTTCGAATAATTTTCCCAGTATTTTGAAGAATAGAAGCAGTTAAGCTGGAATTATCAGGTAACGACGACATGAAAACGAAAATATTCCGTCTGAGAATCTGTTTCTTATACCTCTCTACTTTGTAGAGCATTGGTCCTGCGGGATTGCCTTCATGAGTAAACATCTCTTTGCCACGTTGTGAGTGGTCGGAAGGAGGTTCAAATAGAATTTATTTTAGCATTGAGGCTCTGTGAGATATATTAATAAGCCATTCTATCACGTGACCGGTTGCTCGGGCAGGTCTCTGGTCGCTAGTTTGTAACGATGTAAGAGGATCTGATTGGCGGACAATATAACTATAAACAGAGGAAGTAGTCCATTGCAGGCGCATGTATTCCGTAACTTGTTCAATCTTGTTTCTATTTACATGGGAGATGGGTCCTTTTATAGCTGAGATTCCCATATATCTTGGAATCTCTCCGCCAAGCTTAGTTATAGGCTCTTCAGTTTTGTTCAGAGTGTTGGCATAATGGTACACCTCTATCTTGTAATTGACATGGCAGCTGACACATAATTGCCACTTGAGCTGGTTCATTCAACATAGTTCCCTTTACGGCCACGCTGAACCGAGCTTGGTCAAAGAATCCTTACCTCCTGAGAGCTCCCATTCCCGGTCCAATATCATTTAAGAAATTTGAACAAGATATCGAAGAATAGAAAATAAATAATTCTAGTTAAGAGACAGGTAAAACCCGAGCCGTGAAATCGTAAATACATATCTCGTTGCCCGTTAATATCACATATACCCTCTAAAAAAAACAATACACTTGTTTTCTATATACTCCACCCTAAAATCAAACAACGACTCCACCGGAGTTAGCCAGTCGTGGCTCGCCTGAGGCTTCGAAGACACCGTTCCTCAGCCTCATGATAGACTCCACGGTGCTTCCTGACTTTTCTCTAGTGACGTTATGTTTTCGTGAAATCATAAAGTCCACGGTCTCCTTGTCAAATTCATCTTCCATCAGGGCGACGTTGGGGACGAGTTGGTCATGGAGCCGAGGAGCCTTTAGGGCCTGGCGAACGTTCATTTTCCTGTCCATGACGTTGATGACACTTTGGAGCGTGCCGGTAATAATTTGGGATCCTCCTGCAGCACCGCTGACGAAGTATAGGGAACCATCTGGGCGGGTGATGATGGTAGGACAGATGGAAGAGAGTGGCCGCTTGCCGGGGCGAATGAAGTTCGATGGTGAGGGCTTGTATCCGAAGGAGTTGCTGCGCCCAGGGACAGAGAAGTCATCCATCTCGTTGTTCATGATGATGCCAGTCTCGGGAACAATGACACGGCTACCGAAGTAAAGGTTGATGGTGGTTGTCAAACTGACGGCCATACCAGAGCGGTCGGCAGTTGAGATATGGGAGGTTCCAGGACTACAGCACACACGTCAGTACGACATATATTTGAGAGGCAAGCTTTCTTGACATACGTATTCAAGCTCTCAAGACCTTTGGGGTCATATACGGCTATGTCTTGAGTATACTCGTCAGAGATGTTCATGCGGTTCTTGTTAGCAGCCTCCTCAGATATCATCTTCTTCTGATAATCAGTCAAGTTAGAGAAGAAAAGAGGGTCGCCCAGTTCGGTTCTCTAGCGTTCATGTTAGCTGATGAGCTAACAGTCCATGGTTCAGGATAAATGCATCATGCCTGTCCGTATCCAAACCGGATAGCCTCGTCCATTCTATGGGTACTAAGTGGCACTGGATCCATACGGAAGAAGTTCTTGTACCCATTAAGCAGCTTCAAGATGCTGAGGAGAACAACTCCACTGGATGAGGCAGTGGTACTAGTGACTGTCATGCCGCGGTACTCAATCTGAGCAGTCGGTCTCGAGACCACGGTGTAATTCTTCAGATCCTCGAGAGTCATGGTGCCGTTGGCAGCCCGGAGTGCATTGACCATGGCTTGTGCCATTGGCCCAGTGTAGAAGGCATCGGCGCCATACTTGGCAATCTTGTCCAGGGTGTCGCCGTAGCGTCTGCGGGTGATGATATCACCAACCTTAAGAAGGGTTCCTTGTGGTGCAAAGTCAAGGGCCCATGCAGCGTTTTCAGCAAGGAAGTTCCCATTCTTTGTAGAGTGTAACATAATGCGAGAGAGGTCTTCAGTTACACGGAAGCCATCCCGGGCGGTGCGAATGGCGGGTTCCATGACGGTTTTCCAGGGTAGCTTTCCATAGTTTTTATGGAGGTACTCTAAGCCACGGACTTCACCAGGAACGCCACTACACATCGGGAACAAATTAGATCCATATAACGAGACGGAATTGATCACGAGAGCTCATACCTTGCGAGTCCGCCGGATGTAGAGCCATTCGTGTTGTGTTTGAACATGTCCTGGAATGCCGCAGCAGGGGCCGTCTCTCTGAAGTCGATAAACTCATAGGTACCATTTGGCGCGCGGATGAGCATAAAGCCACCACCGCCAATGCCGCTGTGATACATTGCTGAATAGACGCTTGCATGTCAGCCAATGGATCTAACAAATTATTGAGAACCCAACTGGCAACTTACAAGTAACACCAACGCAGAACACTGTCGCAACCATCTATTTGGAAGGTAAACCGACCGTTAGCTGCAGGTACGCAAACCTCAATCTTCTTGCAAAGTGGGATAAGATAAAAAAGCAAAGAAAAGAGAGAGTCGATAGATACATACGGCATCTGCAGCATTGCCGCCTATCTTCAACATGTCGGCACCGTATTCACTGCACATGGAGTTTTCGCTGGCAACGGCACCTAGGCGTCCGTCATGATAAGATGCTGGAACGCTCCGTGAAAAGAGCCATGGGGCCGCATCCGATACCTGAGCAAAAGAGGAGAGCAGGTAGAGGCCTGTGCAGAGCAGATTCATTGCTGCGGGTGCCATGATGAAGATGTTACAGTGAAGAATCCCCTACCTCGCATAGACAGACGAGGGAGGAGAAGAAGAGAGGAAGACAACCGCCTCCGCAACGAGAAGGTGGGAATCCTCGGCATATAAATATGTACGGTCTGAATGTCGAAAAAAAAAAAAATTTTTTTATAAGCGGGACAAACCTTGGGACGGTCCTTCCATGGACAACCGCCCCGGCCTGAGTTATCACCATTTGGGAGGTCTTGTCATGTCCTCGAAGGCTCTCTTGCTTCCTCTAGCCTCCCTTGCTCCGTGATTATTGGAGCTGGCAGCCCGATGCAACAGCGGTAGAGCCTGATAGCAGAGCCATCCCTACCTCCTCTCCGCTCAGAAGACATGTTGGCCGTGTGATCACCTATACTAGATAGCTCGTGTGGTGCTATAGAGCAGGGTACTCCACACGCGAAAAGCCAGCCAGCGGAACCGTCAGTAGCCACCCGTCGGAGTTAAATGCTGCATGGTCGAGAATCTGCTTTCCTCCTCTCGTCTGCTTTTCTTTCAAGGCAGTCAAACTGGCGTGTGGGGCTTTCTTGGTTTCCATGTCCAACAAAGGGCGTGCTTGTCCTCGTCCCGGCCTTGGAGGCCATCCTTGCCCGAGGGGATGACGATGTACCGCAGTGTTATCATCCCCAGAAATGCCTGTCGCCGCTCCCCCACAGGCACCCCGAAGTGCCGGGAGCTCCTTCGGCTGTACGGCGACGAAGCCCCCCGCTAACTTTCGCTACTCAGTCGGGAAGGTGGACTCGGTGGACTCAACTCCGTCTTCTTCTTTTTATTCCCCAGAACGAGAGTAATTTCCTTGCTCGTATTATTAATTATCGTGTTGTTTTATTTGGTGGTTTTCCCTCCCGGTGCGAAGGCGACGCCCCTAAGATTTTACCTGAGGCCTCAGCCGCCGCCTGTGGTGGTGGCCATGTTCTGGCGACGAACCAGAGCTTGATATGGACAAGCAACTAGCTTCCGACATCGATCATGCGGTCGAAGGGGAGGATCTGAGAGACAGCCCACTTGACATGCGCGGTGGCTCTCGTGGGTGATTAGACAGCGCAGCAGACAACGAAGACAGTCGTGATCCAAAGCACCAGCATCAGCGTCTCTCTCGTGGATGCAAAAGTCGAACTCCCCTCCTGGCTCTGCGTCGCCCTTTTTCTCGCCCTTTTTTGAGCCGCAGAATCCCGCCTTGTCCGCCGAGACCTTATGCTCTCGTCTGATTGGCTGACGGTTTATGGTTGATTAGTCATGAATAACACCTCCTATTCCTTCCGGAAGCGGTAAGCAGTAAGTCAGGGGCTTCTCTTTCTCTTGTTGGCCGTCGAGGGAGGATTTGGCCCGTTTTAGATAGTACCTAGGTAGGACTAAAGCAAAGCGGCTATGTAGTATGTACGTTTGAAGATCCTCTCTGTATATCCTCGTCGAGCCTGCTTGTCAGACTTGTGAATGTTTTTTCTTTTTTTTTTTTTT